TAAGTAAGCCTCTTCCTTCTCTCCTCTTTTAGCCCCTCCCTCCCCCCATATTTGTAAGATAAGTGTTAATGAACAAATTTATATGTGAATCTCCACTAAACTCCAAATACCTCTCTCTCTTTCCCTCCCTTTCCAACTTTACCCTAGTGTAATTTTTTTCTGCCACTTTTTTGGTCAGTGCCTGCTTTATGCACTTTTGATTTAGTCTAGTGTTGCCCAGACTTCCGATAATGGGGGCACGCTTTCTGTGGATTAAAACTGGCAGCATACTTCATTCACTGGCAGGAACTAGTTCATGAGCCTGATCCCTCTGGGACTGGAGCCCCATCCAGCCCGTTTTTCAGAGCATACCCTTTGAGAATCGCAGTGTTTTCTGTAAGGTGCATCTCTAAATTGCTTTCTGTTTAGCAGTTGCTGACCTACAATCCATTTGACAGGAGTGTGAAACTGATTTGGCCCCCCACAGATCAGATCTAGATTGCAGAGCTTTTCACAGGTTGGATAACCCATCTCTGGCAGCAGGGTGAGTGGCAATGGCATTAAACCCCTGCGGCTGCTTGGAGTTGCTGTGTCAGCATAGAGGCAGAATCCAGGGGGTTAATGACATCACTACTTACTCCCTTTTCATCTGCTACTGATTTTATTTGCCAGTGGTGACTGAAAACACTACTTTTGACAGTGGGTTGGGGTGAGAGTCCAGTGGCAGTAATGTTAGTCTCCTGGGTTTCAAAGTTGTGCAAAGATGGTGGCTCCAGCAGCTGCAGCAACAAGCCCTGCAGGCCACATCCCACCTACAGAGGTAGGTTGTTCAGCCTGTGAGAAGCCCAGTTGACTGTATGTTTGATGCTCTTGCTGTAAAATAGTGGATGGACTATAAAATAGATGGACTGCTGTAGCATGATACTCAAGACTGCTTAGATTAGGAGAGTGTGGTTCACTCTGTGGAGATGAAAGAAATCTTTAGCTTCAAAACTTCATAAACTTGGGGTAGTAAAACGACAGTGAAGCATTAGATTTTTTTTTTTAATTGAGTTGTGTGCAATACCTTGAATTAAATTGATCAGTCTTTAATTATACAGTGTGCAAGAATATGCCTGAGAGTGTTGTGTGTTCCTTAATTGTAGGAAATTATGGTCCAGGAGGAAGTGGGGGAAGTGGTGGATATGGAGGGAGGAGCCGCTATTGAGCTTTTGCAAATTTGGGTAAGTATCTTTATAAGTGCTAAACTTGCAATGTTTCTTGAGACTTAGTTGCAGGAGTAAAAGCTTTTTAGGATCATATTATCTTTCCTTTAAAAATTGGTTAGATGGATAATATCATAACCTATTTTTTTACTCTTTACTTCTGTTGAAACAGGCTTCACTGTATAAATAGGAGAGGATGAGAGCCCAGAGGTAACAGAACAGCTTCAGGTTATCGAAATAACAATGTTAAGGAAACACTTATCTCAGTCATGCATAAATATGCAGTGATATGGCAGAAGACACCAGAGCAGATGCAGAGAGCCATTTTGTGAATGGATTGGATTATTTAATAACATTACCTTACTGTGGAGGAAGGATTGTAAAAATGCCTTTGAGACAGTTTCTTAGCTTTTTAATTGTTGTTTCTTTCTAGTGGTCTTTGTAAGAGTGTAGAAGCATTCCTTTGATAATGTTAAATTTGTAAGTTTCAGGTGACATGTGAAACCTTTTTTAAGATTTTTCTCAAAGTTTTGAAAAGCTATTAGCCAGGATCATGGTGTAATAAGACATAACGTTTTCCTTTTAAAAATTTAAGTGCGTGTGTAGAGTTAAGAAGCTGTTGTACATTTATGATTTAATAAAATAATTCTAAAGGAAATATTGTGTAATTATAGATTTTTTTTTTAATATTGTAAAATAAGGCAAGGAGTGGGTAGTATAAGGTCCCACCAATAATACAAATTATTGTTGTATATGTAAAATTAAATGCTGGTCAGAAAAAAAGTATGTTGTCTGTAAATTATCAGGTTTAAAATATCTAGATAACTTAAGGGATATCTCTGCAAGGAGAAACACCTTTTTAGATCTTTTAGATGCTGCTTCTTCAATGGCAAGGAAAGGAAATATCCCCAGCGAGGTACTCTTCCAGGGACACAGGTCTAGTACAAGAGAACTCTTGAAAACGTCACTAAATTCAGCCAGTCTTAAAAAGCTGCGCTGTATTTCTGCCAAGCTTTAACTACAGTAGTTTTATAAGGATGCCAACGAAGGCTGAGGGTGTAGAGCAAAATAGTTCTAAGCTTCAGTTAAACTTCTTTAGGTAAGATCTTATTTACTTTTCCTTTCTTAATGTTCCAAAAAAAACAAGAAACTAATACTATATGACAGTCTACTCTTTCAGTATAGTGGTTATCGTATGTAGTTTAACATAGCAATGAATTGAGTTAACCATTACCAACTGAAGAGAATTTTGTGAATCCTGTTTGTTTTTTCTTTCTTCTTGCATATTTAAATTTTGAAATAAAATTTTGTATTAATTTCAGCTACTTAACATATGTTTTTCCTACTGGAATCTAGCTTTGATATGAACCATGGACAAGCATAGACTGCTGCTACTGTACACTGCTACAGTTGAACAAAAGAGACTCGCAAGTGTCCATTAGTAAAGCTTTGCAAGGGTTCCACCCCTGGTGTTGGTAGTTTAAAATGGTAGGTCATAAGTTAATTAAATCATAACATTTTATTTTTGCACCCTGCAAACTGTTGTTTTTCTTGGGAGTCTTAAACATTTTGATGCTTCTAACAGTCCAGTAATCTATTAAAGATAATGCATTTCACTTTAAAGAATCCTGAGTAACATTAGATCGTTTACATATAAGAATGCTTTTTTAGTTTTTTGCCACTGAAATACATCTCAGAAGGATATGTCACCCATTCTTCTCTAACACTGCACAACAGTTCATGAAATTGGAAGCAAAAACTTCTTCATATGAAACTACAGGTGGTATTTTACATGTGCACAGTGTAATTGTCTAAATTGAAAACTTGGCCAGGATATAGGAGGTTTCCACTACTTCTGTATTTACAACTAGTAAATTTTTGTGACCAATTCTATGGCCCTTAACCTTGCTGAGTGTTGCCTTGCTGTTTAATCCATTGAACTCAGTGGAGTTCAGTGTAAGAAAGGGTGGTGTAAATCTACCCCCCTAACTTTTTTTGCTCAAGACATTTTTTTTTTTGGAAGTTTCACTGCCTGCAAAAGGCTGTGCCTTGAGGAACCTGGACTCGCCTATCCAAAGATCTCTTCCTAACAGGGATTTGTTTAATATTTTTTGCAATTGCTGACATTCCCCTGTAGGTAATATGGATAGACATATGTAATAAACATCTTCAGATACACTTTTTTTTTCTTTGGCAGGAAGGTGCCATGCTGCAGGTAACTAATGAAGAATTGGTCAACCACAGAATCGCTTCAAGAAATAAGAAATTGTTTCATCAGAAAATAGTTACTTTATGCTGGCTTCACTAAAAATAGAGGTTAAATGAATCTTGATTAAAATATCTCAATAGAGCTTCCTGTAAAGCTGGGTGCTTAAAAATTATAGTAATAACTGTCTGTAAATCTTCTGAATAAAACTCAAGTTGGTTAGGAAAAGCAAAATCACCAATGTTAAAAGGTAAACATTCTGTGAATAGAAACATTTTAAATACTTTTTATAATTTTCATAGCTTTTAAAATAAAGTATTTTTATACCAAATTAGTTCTAGTGTAATGATTGATACGAGGTAATTTGTGTCTAATATTCATATAACATATACACACAAGTTGACCTTTTCAGAGCTTTTAATTTGAAGATGCATCTCCTTTTTAAAGTCACTTGAATCTTGGAAGTTGATTTGACACCCAGACACAAGCTATTTCAATCTTGAATTGTGTATGCACTTGTTCTATCCTGGGAAAAACAGTGCTACAAATACAAGAAGTTATTTTACAGTTGTTATTTTTTACCTTACCTTTACCTTACATTTCTTCCTGTCATGCTTTCTTAAAACAATAGCCAAATCCATTTTTAATCTATAAAAAGTGTTAGTGTTTTAGTCTGTAAGATAAAATGTAGTGTAAAAATGATACTCTACCAAAGTATGAAGTTTGCTTACAACAAGTTGTTTCCTGTAGATGTATCCTCTGAAATATGTATGTGAGCTTGGGAAGCAGTCGACACTAGAACCTACCTTCAAAAAGACTTATACCTTCTGTGGCTTAGACCAGGGGCTGACAACGCGTGTGCCCTTGGGACATGCTATATCCCCAGGGCATATAGCTGCTCTAAGCCACACAACCCCTGCACAGCATCTTTCTCAGCAGCCCTTCCTGCTCTGCAGTTGCTGTGCTACAGCAGGGCCAGGCATCTGCAACTGGTATGCAGACAGCTTGAGTTTTGAGGAAGCCAGAGGGGGTGGGAAGGAAGAGGGAAGATGTGTGATCCACTGCAAGGAACCAGGTCAGAATCCTGTTTAGTCTTATGGGAACACAATTACTAGAGCTTGTGATGCATTCTGAACCTAGCTCCAGTTTGTAAGTGGTGTAAGTTTTTTTTTGTTTGTTTGTTTTTTTGTTTTTTTGCATGTCCATATTTGCACACTTCCTTCGGGGGTGGTTATCCTACTGAAGGGGGGGACAACACTTGGGGAGGAATTATTTTCCCTTTTTTAACAAAATGGTTTGGTATAATTTGGTACAACAATGCTTTAGCACTGTCTGGTTTTAATGAAGGTGGATGCATAATTATTTGTCCAATAGAACTCCATTTTCTATCCTGTGCACTGGGAGGGTAATACAAAGGAGAAGCATTTAGCTTCAGCTGCAAAAGGTACATGGGGGAGTTTGTGTTTTTTACATTTTAGAAAACCTGGTCACAGCAGTGAATATAATGACATTTTAAGTCACCCTAATATGGGTTTTAGTCATTTTAAATAAGGCTTCGATGTAGGGTTGGTCATTGACTCAGTTTCTAAATAAACTTGTTCTTTTTTCCATTCTTAATACAAAGCTACTTTACAGAATGCCCTTTCTAAAAAAGATTTATATGATATCAGTTAAGCACCTCAATGGGACAATAAAAGCGAGTACTAAAGCTGGCATTTTTACCTTACCTAGTAGTATAAGAATAAGGTAAGTCAGCATTTCATGATAATTCACTAGAATCCTGCAAAATGGAGGACTGTCCAATAATGTAGTCAGCTTATCTCAAAGACTATAGAGCATCTCAATCTTAAGATCAGGAGCAAGTCTGTCTTGCTGCAAGCTTGGATGGAAGCTAAAAGTATTTTGTATAACTATCTACACTTTTTAATTGCTAAAGAACATTTTTTGTGTTCCAAATCTGATTCATTCAAGAACTAAATGTGACCCTACTTCCAGTAAACATCCTCCACCCCTGCTTGGGGCTTCAAATGCTTCTAAATCATTTGGCGGGTATCCTGCGTACAGGCTCAAGCCTGAAAGCTTGGGGCTCAGAAGCCCCTGAGCTTGGCTTGCTCTTGGCCAGATGGCCACAGGAGCAAACTAGGGAGGAGTCTACCATTTCCAAAAGGTTGGTGTATAGCCAGGATCCTCCCACTGGAAGCTGGCCAGTGGAAAGCTAATTATGGCTACTGTAGGGCATCTTGTCCGCAAGTGGACAAGGGTGTGCAACCCTCTGCTACGTAGTGATGTTTTAATTGCATAACCTCAGGGTATTTCCCTTGCCAGGTAACCATCTACACCTTGTTTACTTGGTCTAGGCTGTTGAAGGCCAGTTTGGGGTTGCTAATGGGTCTCTACCATTCACTTAAGGTTGTGATACTGGCTAGCCTTGGGGATATGGGAAAGTTTTGTCCATAAAGAATGGGGAGGGGAAGTACTTGCCATACTGAAAGTATAATGGTTAATATGCACATTGGAACAGTGATGTCAGTGAGGGTGTTCACTCTGACTATAGAGACATCTATGATAAAGCTCAGTGAACTTGATCATTATTAGAAGAGGGAAAGACTACTTAAAACTAGATCAAGCTTGTAGGTTCTCCTTAAAGCTTAACTGAGTTTTAAAGTATGTGAAAAAAGAGTGCCTATACAAATAAGGCATATTAATTCCCAAGTGCTTTTGAACTCAGTTCATGGCGTGCAGACGGATCCAGGCTTTCTGTTTTCCCATGGAAAAATGGGAGAAAACATGGATTTCTCCTTTTAGCAGAGAAATCTGCCACTTCCCCACTTCAGCAAAGAGCTCTGTCGGCTGGTTGAACTCCAGCCTGCAAGAGCTGTTGGCAAATAGGGAGAGGGGGAAAGGGCGGGGCCGGAAGCTGTCAGCCACAGCTCAAGGCTCAGCCTTGCTCTTTGGTCCTTGAGCCTGTGTGGTAAGTGGGGCTTACAGGGGCTGGGGGGGCACCAGCAGGGCAGAGGGACAGCCAGGAGCTGGCCCGACCTGAGCAGGCAGCAGCAGTGGGGAAGCTGGCTTCTGCTGCCTGCTGTTGGGGGCAGGGAGCTGCAGACTTTGCTCCCTAGCCACTCTGGGC